AGAGCGTTCCTTGAGGCTATCGGTGAGGAAGATCTTGAAGAAGGTGATGAGCAGCATGAAAGAGAAAGCAGCCAGCCAACGTATCCACAATTCGTCGGAGATGTTGGTGATATTGCACCTAATGAGGGAGAGTGGGAAGGGGGTCTAAGGGAAAATGAGATAGATGATGATTTTGAGGCCACCCTATCCCAACCATATTATTCACATATCGAGTCCCAATAGCAACAGAGTAGGGATGAGCACGACAGTATAGGTGAGCATGAAGGATGGACAAGCTTCGCGGATTTTGGATTGGGAACACAACAGAACACTAACACTCAGGGATTTAGGTATAGTCAGACGTCGGCTAATATGGATGATTCGTTTTTAGATCGAATCAATGAATTGTCAAACGAATTCAATCAATGGCACCAGCATGACCAAGAAGAAGAACGACGTCGTCTATCATTTTATGTTTAGATCATATGTTACTAATTGTATGCTTTATTGTAGTCCATGTATGTTGATATACTTATTCCATGTTTATCTTTTTGTGTGATGTAAATTAAATGGTAAATAGTAGTTCATGCAGGGAAAGAACATATCAATATTCGCATATTCATGCAAAGAAATGAAAATTCTTAATGGAGTACCCCATTTCTTATTGAATTCCTAAAAAACAATATTTATAATGAATTTTAATAATTTTTTCGGATTTTTTTTAAGCTTTAATCTCAGCCGATTCCCAATCCGGATCGTCGATTCGCAAATCCGGATGGGTTTTTGAGGTGCCCGATCCGGATCATTGATCCGCTTTTTAAACCATTGGTTTTTTAGATGCTCGATGCGGGTCACTTATCCGCTTTTTAAACCACTCGTTCATAGTATGAACTACCATGCTAATTCCCTTATTTCAACTAACCCATGTAGACATCATAAGGCCTAGCTTAGTTAGCACTAAGATAGCCAAAGAACTATCTTATTTAGTTGAACATGTATACTATGGTCCCGTGGGAGCATACTAGGTGTCTGCTCCCTCATGCTAAAAACTATTCACAAAGATTAATTTAGTTAAAATTTTGGGAACCACATATGAAGTACGAGATGATTATTTTCAAAGTAAAAAATTTTAATTTTGAGTTTTATGACACTTATGTCTAACTCTTCAAAAATTGGACGGTCTCTATTCAATCTTGAGGCATTATTTTTGTTATAGTACATAGATGGTTTATTTTGGAATTTTTTAATTGAGATTAGTTCATGGGTTGTAAAGATTACATCATCAAAATTTGAGATCTAGAAGATATTCCTACCATGTGTCACACCCGGCGGAGTAAATGGATAGTATACTCCTGAGCGAGTAGGAAATCCTTTGGTACTATAGTTTACATCCCATCGTGCTATTAGTATTGTACATGGATTTGAATTAATTTGTGGAATTACTACATGCTTTTAAATTTTTGAAATTTTATGCATGGGTCTTTTATTTTCCTGATTTTTCTTTAATTCTAGTTTTGCTCCCCATGTTACAAACTTCAAACTGCATTTTTTTTTTTTTTTTTTTTCAGTGCCCAAAAAATGAACCGCTTATTTTTTATTATTATTTTGTCAAATCAAGTCATTATTGTAGAAATTAGATATGCCTTGATAAACAAAATGCAACTCACAATGGATTTATTGAAAACAAATAGCTCAGTTACAAATTAGGGGCTTTCTTAACCCGTGAAAAGAAAACGAAAACAAAAATTGAGTAAAGAAATTTATTAGTTTTTCACTTTCTTGAGAAGTAAAAATTCAATAATTCTCTTTGTGGAAAACAAATCTTGTGCTGGTTGTATTTGTAAACTTTTTGGACAACCTCTCTAGCTCCTTTGCCAAAATTTGAGGTCCACAACAGAATACTCCTGCAACAAAGTCCCGCGGGTAAAATATTGTTAAATCACCCATAAAAATCCCACCTACTTTATGCTCTCTCTCTTTCTCTCTCTAAGATGATGATGTTTCTTACCAATTTTGGCTCCTGCATGGCGTTCTGCCAAGTTGCAATAGACTCTGTGCCAATTTGGTCTAGCAAAGTGCGCCCTCACCTGTCCAAATAGACCTTAACTTAGGATCTTAACATTAAGCAAATGTATATACTCTCTCTCTTTCTCTCTCTACAATGGGTGTTACGCACAATTATTCATCCATGGATATATCTACAACACAGGTCAATGGAGTTTTTGCCAAAAGTTATTTTACTCCTTCGGGACTAAAATGCGCACTTACCCCCTTGGATAAATCCTCACCTAGGATTAATTTTAGGAAACTAAGTTTTGAGATGTAACATCTTCAATCTATAGATTAATCTCAAATTTTTTTAATAAAATTTTTGGTTGCACTCTTTACCACTAAAAAAGAAATAATGTCTCAAAATTGAAAAGAGACCATCCGATTTTTAGAGGTGAGATTTAAGTGTTAGAAAACTCACATTTTAATTTGAAAATAATTGTATTTGAGAATAATCATTTAGTAATTCTTAAGTACTTCTCAAAATTTCAGATTGAAAAAATACTCCCAAGTAACTCTTCTGACCAAGGGAGTAGAAATAAACTATGCTCCCAAGGAAACATAGTATACACGCTTCTCTCTCTCTCTATGTATGTGTGTACATTGTGGGTTTTACATGCTTATTGGATTTTGAATATAAACAAGAGGGGGCGAGGGGTTGTGGTGTACTATACTGGAGTATGGGATACGACGTCTATGCCAGTCTTGGCATGATGGAGAGCTTGAACCATGGAGATCAACGCTGATCGTGCATCCCCTTCCTCATAGACGCTGGTGAGATAATTATGCATCTCTATCTGTCCCTGCAATTTCTTTGTTAATCCACACCCTACACAATTGGAAGAAGCCATCTCTTACCTCTAATAAGGGCAAACTTATCATTTAAAAAGTTTGGGTTCTCAGAAAATAAGGTTTAAAAATACGGATCGGTGACCTAGATTGCCCATGTAGACAACCAGTCTGGATTCGCGATCTGACAAAGTGAACAGGCTAATAAAAAATTTAAAAAAAGATTTGAGAATAAAAAATTAAAAAATATTAAAAATAAAAATGGGACCGGTTCTCTGATAGAACCGATTGGTTATGTTGGAGAACAAAACAAAGCCGGTTCCCGATATTTTGGCGAAGCGGGATTGGCCCCACCAGTTGCAGTCTGCTTCGCCATTTTTTCAAACCTTGGTAGAAAACATTGATCCGCCTCTCTCTCTAAAAAGTTGGATCACACTATAAATCTTCTCCCTTCATAAAAAACTTAAATTATAGTAGAATTGTTCTTTTCTCTATCTCAGCTTGTTTTTTCGGGTCGAGTAGCACGGAAGGGATTCCATACCCGCGGCATGAATGAAACTCAAAATATTACATACCCTAACTATCTATGCCTTGAGTCCAATTCTAAAAATGTACATATACCTCCTAGGTCGCCATCATTTAAGAAGATCTTTGTTATTTAAAAGAAGGGTGTGGTTTTTATAAGGTTGCAACTTTAAATAATCCCATTAAAGCACACATTCAAATTTTATCATAATATATAATTTTGTTGTAAAAGTGCCTTAGGAAATTTTGGGTCTCATAGGATCATTACTCTTTCTTAAAATCTATTTTCATCTCTAATTATAAAATTTTAAACTCCAAAAATGGTTAAAATCAAGTAGAACTATAAACATATGAAAATCTCGAAAATGAACGGTCTAGATAATATGTTGCAAGATGCACTATTTTCGGGACTCAAAATCATTTTCTTTTCATATTCATACATCTTGATATCGAGATGATCAACTAGAGGGTTTTTCAACATTAAAAAAACTTTTTCCAATGGATTTTTATGGCCTATCCGTAATTCCCTTAAAAGAAATTAGGTAATGATATAAAGGAATACTACGAGAACAATATTTGGTATAGTTATCTTTAGTCATGGGATGTGAAGTCTAATAGATGAAAGCAAGTCACAATGTTCGAGAAATTTTATTTTGGACATTATGCCTAAACAATGATGCATCATGAACTACCAGATTGTAAATATAACAGTCAATGATGATTGTGACATCTTTATATAAATATTAAGTAGTCTTATTATATACTGGTATAAGAAAGGTTACGACTTTAAACTTTCTCTTAACCCATCCCATTCTCGAGAAAAGTGGCATGGTTGTGTTAAGTAAGCAGCCAACATAAAATTTTGCTAAAACCCATCATGAGTCTTATTATATAAATTTCTTATAGGAATATATAGCAGATGCGATCCAAAAGTAAAATAGCAACTTAAAACTCCATTGGAAAATATGCTTCAAACAATTAGAGGAAAGTATATAACTTCCACACAATAGGGAAAGATAGAAAGCTTTCCCACACTAAAATGCCCTGAAAATCTATTTTCACTCGTAGTAAAATTTGAAGCTCCAACAACCAAACAATTTTTTCAATATTTACCTGTTTTTTATTGGTGTTGGAGATTTCATTCATAATATCACGGAACCAGTCAAAAGAGCCTTGTTCTCTTGTAACCCAATAAAAGTACACTTTTGAGGGATGGGATGATGAGCCGGATTCTCCACCATCAATCTGCAATTTATATGACCAAGAGTCAATCT